TTGGTTATTTTATGTCACCAAAAGCCGGAATCGAGAATACAGAATCGAAAAAGTGGATATCATTAGTACCGCTCACAAAACCATTATACATAAGTCTTTATTATATTTCCAAAGGGTAGAGATGATCTCGATTTTTTAATCAAAAAGCCTAGGAACACAGTTTAATTTTCATAGTTGTTCAATCTTTCATGAAAGTTTAGGAGCAATACAATGATCATAAACAGCTATTAAAACTAGAAAACTAATATACATTAGACTTTGCGTAAAACATCTTTCAAAAACATTAGTCTATGACTTTCATTATTGTACACTGATATGAACAGCCTCGTGTATGAAATTCAAGATGTTGATATGAATGAGATCATGAAAGAAGACATTGATAAATTTGAAACATCAGACTATCCAATTGATAATCTATTTGATATACCTCTCGCTAGCAAAAATGTTCTCGGAGTCATGAACGACAAGTGCAATGTCAACCTTATGATGAAGGTTTTTGGGTTACGCTGCAAATTGTATAGTAATCAAATAGCAAATAAGGAACCTATGAAAAGGTAAAAAGTGTGAAAAAACGTACAGTTCTTAATAATATCATGCATTTAGGTAATAAAAAATGCTTAATATTCGAACCAAATTGCATCGAGTACTAACAGCGAGAGAATAAATGACCACACTAAGCCCTCATGATGATAATAAATGTATATTCGTTAGTAATCCAGACATATGTCCATGGGAGCATTACAAAATATTAGAAATTGAAAAACTGAAAGAGAGATTTGCAAAACAATAAAATCAGAGGCAAGTAGTAGTAGAAAGAGAAAAAGTCTCGCATAGTATACATAATAAACGTACTAGATTGGTGTCAAGAAATCGGAGATTAGATATGTTGTAGTCTGTGAGAAATTAAAAGCTGGAGGTCATTTGGAATCAACTAAATTCAATAATTGGTAATGGATACGTACGTTAATATTAAGTTACCAATGAAATATAGTAATATTAGATAGATATTTCGATAATATCTAGTAACAGTGTAAATTAAATGTCTACTGGACGTAAATGAAAAGTCGGTTAAACCGATCATTCGCCAATTATAGCATGCTCTATCAAGAATCTTCTGAACAGTGGTATAGAGATTCTAACGACAAATTCTTGATAATGCACAACAATTATGAGAATTAAAAGACCGTTCATCTTGTTGTTGCCTCTGAGAAATGATAAGCTGCGGGTCATTTAGAATCAAATCAGCTGCGGGTGATTTGGAAAGTAAATTCAAAGAATTAAATGTGGGGTATTTATATGTAGCGCTAGATTCAAAATACTGCATGCTATAACTGATGGATAATTGGTTTAAACGACTTTGCAGTTTCTGTCAAGTACAATTAAAATTGACATTTTTACTAGATTTGTTCTCGAGGGTGATATTAATACATGACATTATGATCCTAATGTTCTTATACGTACCAAATTACATTTCTTTGAGTATACTTGATTTCAAATTACACGGACCTTTTCATTTCTCGCTCACTACAACACATCTGATGCATGGTCTTTTATTTCTTATATTTTTATTTCTTTGTTCTAAAAATCGTCATTGGTATTTCTATTCTGATGTTGTGTAAAATTCAATATAGTGCTTGCTATAGCTGATGGTTTATTCGACTTTGCAGTTTCTATCAAGTATGATTGAATTTCGCACTCCAACTAGTTTGATTGTCGAAAATGATATTAATATATATTACATTAGGAACCGAACGTTGACATACGTACCGAGTTACAATCCTCTGGATGTACACTGCTTTTACCCCCCTCCGAACAAAATTGTTCAAACTTTGAAGTTTCATATAATTCTTCAAAACTAACATACAGAAACGAGCTGCAGTGCATTTGGAAGCTCTTTCCAAGAGCTTTCAAATAGTTTATATAAAGAGTACAATCAAATGGTCTTTTCTAAATTTTTCAAACGATTATTCATAATAATAAATAAATTCCGAAATTTTAGGTACATCTTTTATCTCTTGCCAAGGGAAAAAATCCTCTCTTTAGGCAAAAAATCGCAGAAAAATTTTAATGGTGGAATTTTCTTTCACTTTCCAAATCCTATTTAAATCAGTGATTAAGGTCATATCAAGATCAACTTCGTTTTTTCCAATATAAACTGTTATTTTTTACCCCGGATTCGGTAAGAGCCGAAAATTCAACGTTCAAGTAGGGTATTTATTATAACTAAGGTCCATTGGAACGCCGAGGTCGTAATTTTCTTAAAAAATCACACGAATTCATGAAGTTTGAAATAGCTATGGTGAATTTTGTTTTTAAATTATTATATTTCATTAATATTACTATTATCTCTGATGAAATTTGATTATTATCGTATTACTAAAAAAGTCATTAGACAAACTGATTTTGCAAAGGTAATATTTATGTGTACGTATTTTGTGAGGCGGTTTCAGCCAGTATGAAAATCCTGACATGAGGTAATGTTAATTTTCACATCTATGTAAACCAAAATTGATGATATACGTGGCAAAATCAAACTGTGACGTGACCAAAGAAAGTTCAATCACCGAATACGGTTTATGTGGTTCAAATTGCAAAATATGTTTCTTTCTTTGATAGTACACGCGTAAATATATTTGGCAGCCTATTTTAGATAATATGAAAAAACAGCTACAGTCAAATCGTTGACGTACGTGGTAAACCAATATTTAACAGTGGAAGAAACTTGGACACCTTGATTTGATATTGGTTTATGTGGTGCCAACTGCAAAACATGTTTTGTTCACTTAAAATATATATAAACACATTAGATCAACGTACTTCAGTAGATTACTATTATATCTTTTCTTTACATAGCGTTGTGTTTTTGAATATCAACACTCTGTCAAATGGTAATTCAAATTTATAACGTCATGCAATGTTTATTGAAAAGATTTCACATAAGTGCAATTGTAGAAACCATACCTATATTAGAGGACACAGAGAAGCAGCTACATAATTACGTTGAAGATATATTAAAAAAAGCATTGAAACGAATTCAGATGTTGAATGTGAAGCAAGTCACAAGTTATGTTTCCCGGATGATGATTTCGATACTAATCTAGAAGTAATTGACTATGAAGCTGAAGGAATACATAATGTAGATTATGCCGTGGTACCTATTTGTATGGTAGCAAATACGACAGACGAAAATGGGTACAAATGAAAAGCTCGTGAATACTAGGAAGTTAAGAAGAAGAAACTGTTCTTCCGTTCTGTCTAAAGTAAATATAAACTAGTTATGTCAGCACGTCAGTTGAGAACATGGAACCACAAAATTTTGGCAGGCGGGAAAAGAAGAGATAATTTGTTTAAAGTTTCAGAATTTACTCTACAACAACTTAAAGATGCTTTAGATTGAAAGTTAACAGTGCATGATTTGAATCTTCAAAAATAAGCTTTACGAAAAAAGTATGAGTTTAGATATGCCTAACGTTATTGTTATTGTTCAGAATATGTTCAGTAATTATGAGTGCAGATAGATTTTATATGAATGAGTCATTCTTTGTAAATCGGACCCCCCCCCCCCCCCACCCTTTCAAAAATTGGTGATGTCCAAAAAAATCACAGCTTAAAATTTTCCTTTTCTCCTCTAGTTTACAGCGCCATGTGGCCTTTTGTAAAAATAAAAAATGGCAGACTCAATACGGCGACTGAAACTTGAGTTGCTTCTAAAAATTTTCCTAATTTGAATGCTATATTTTGTTTAAGGCTGGAAATTTATTTAGTGTCAAATTTCACATATGAATTCGTTATTGCACTCGAGATCAACCTTTATTTTCGAGGTAATGAAGGTTTACGTTCAGAGTTTAATTTTTTCCTTTATATATTTAAGCCTCAATTTTCAAAAATGAAATTGAAATTGAAATCGATATTGAAATATACAATATTGAAATCGCCATCTTGGATTCAGCAAGTCCATCAGTGGATTCATGATCAGTGACCACAAAAGCCCCATATACAGAATTCGATGAGAAACGGTTAATTATTCAAAAATTTCTACGTGTCATGTAGTTTTGGACTCTATCTTGGATTTTATCCCGGACGGAAAAATTTTTATTTTGTACAAAATTGAAAATAGTATAGTCGCACATTGGCTCACAGGTGTTCGCTGCTGATAGAGTTTGCTGCGGTCGGCGGTCTTGTCCTTCGTCGAGGATGTGAAACTGATCCCTCCAGTTGCTGCTTTCCTCATCCGCACTTCATCGCTACGAAACAGTTTTTTCGTGAATCGGCAGTGGTGTTCTGCGTTCTTTTTTCGCCCTACTCACTCTTCCTCTCTCTCTCTCTCTCTCTCTCTCTCTCACTATCTTGCTTGTACATGAAGAGTGGGTTCGCTCTCTGCTTCATCGTCCGTTACTTTCAAAAATGGCCGGTACACCTCAAACAAAAAGATATAAGCATGAGTGTGTAACAAAACAAACACTCACAATTTGTTAGCGGTGAACCACAGCAGTGGGTAAGCATTTAATAGGGAATCGGCTAGTAGAACCGATTTCTCTATTATAAATTGTTGATAATTTTTTAAATAGTTAAGATTTTCTGTCCTGACTTCTCTCAATATCATCTGTACACATTAATGAATATACCAAATATGGTGATGAATATGGTAGAACATAGCAAAAATAGTTTTATAACTATTGAGTATTTGAACCTAATGTATTGTATTTGTCATTTTGAATTTTCATAAGCTTTATCTGGATAAATTATTAGGAACTAACAGCTTACAAACTCATTAAAATCTTCTTAATTGACTCTTAACACAAATATGTCCCTGAAAAAGTTATTGTTTTAATTACGGATTATTGATGCCCAAATTTCAAATATCAATATTCAAAAATGCTTTTAATTGCTAGATGTTTTCAGAATACAAAGATCATTAATAATTATTACTCTAGAGTTACATTTTGCATTTCCAATTAATTTTTAATCTATTGTTAATGAAGATTATCTATTAATTTCAGAAATGTACTTGTTTTAATGGAAAGCATAGCAAGTAAACATAAAATAATATACGTGAGAGAAAGATTAGCCGAGAAACTAGAATTTTTCAGATTTGATCCTTATGGTGAGTATTTTTTAATGAAAACAAATACAATTATAAAGAGTAATTTTTAAATGCTTCGTCAGTTTAAATTTTAACGTTGTAAGTTATATTCGAAGTAGTATTAATTTTATTAATTTATTATTACCCAAGCAAAATCAAGGCCAGATAACACCAAACTAATCATTAGATTACTGTCAAAACGAAAAAAAAATTAACCTATTTTTTTCTTTCTGCGATTCTATTGTTTATTATATGACTTTATTTAAACAAATGAACAAAAATTTTATATTTAAAAAAAACTGATAACGCCAATCGATTCTACAAGTAAAATACATCCAAAATCTCTATACCATTTTCTGTCAGATTCTAATTTTCTAGTGTATTAATTTTTTAAATAATAACATTCCAACAAGCGGTGTTGCACTTCGTTTTACCCCAAGCCGAATCCATCTACTACTGATTTAATCTACCAAACTAATTACTGGATCACTCTTCACATGCAACAAATGATCAGTGTTTTTCTTTTTGTAATTATCATTGTTTAAACGAATTATTTAAATAAATTATTAAAAAACTTTGCAATTTCAAAAAACTGATTATATCAATCGATTCTTCGCGGAAAAAAAAGTAAGAAACCTTTTTGGAATATACACATGTAATCTTTTACCTGAACCTAAGACAGCTAAAAAAATTATGTCTGAATGTCTTGTGCAATTGGTTAGAATGAAATCTTGATTTATGAAAAAAGCTAAATATTTTATTTTCTAACAATATGGTGACAAAATAAAATTTGATAGAAAAATAGTATAGAAGTTTTTATGTTTTTTCTTATAGAATCGATGGTATCGTCAGTTTTTTGCCTACAATAAGTTTTTTGAAAACAAAAGAAATTATTGCAACATATAACAAATCATTTGACAAGAATCACTCTTCCTTTGTCACCAATTATTTTGCGGGGTAAGTGAGGTACTTTCGCTCAAGGTAATTGAGGGAGAAATGAGAGGATAGGTCATAAATGAATTATACAATGACATGAATCAAATTAAACTTACAACCTATTATTATTAATCATTATTCAAACTAAACATACGCGCACATAACATAGTCTAAATTATTGACCAACTAACTACCAAATAGAACAGTAAACTACTTATGATATTCACAAATGAATATTTCGCATTTCACCCTAATACCTAATCTCGCACTTAACCTATTACAAACTTACTTAAAAACTACGCGAACCAATACCGGGTGAATTGCCCGGCACGTGGGCGCCTGGACAATTCGCCGGTCGCAACTTACACTACTATAAATTAAACTTAAGTGCGAAGCTTTTGATAGCCGGCACGTGAATGCCAGGCTATCTTATTCAACGCGCACCGGTCGTCGCATCAGCAGAGAGAGAGAGAGAGAGTGTAGAGAGAAAGAAGAAAAGAAGGCTTAACCTTTATTCACTGCTCCTCGCAACGTCGAGAATTTTGAGCGATGTGCTGCCGCAGGAAGTACCGGTCGTCGTTGCTGGTCAGATCGTTGCTAGCTGCTGGCTACTGTCGCTGACCAAGTATCCGCAGGCGACGTTGACTCTCCTTGCAGGTGGGTCTGGCTGTAGTCGCAGACAAAGCTGTTGCCGGTAGGGTTGACTTTCCTCTCAGCTATCCCAAACTGCACTCTCTGCACTCTAGCAGGACTAGGCTTCGACTCTCTCACGCACTTATTCTCGCGCTCGTCTCGCAGCCGCTCAGCGGTGCTCGCTCCTCTCCCTACCTTGACCTATTAGTTAGGCGGCACGCGATGCACCGCTTATCGGTCACGCGTCGCGCGGCTGCCTATCCCTGCATGGGCCTAGTACTCTCTCTCTCTCTTCCTCTCTTTTTCTCACTCTCTCCGCGCTCCTCAACTTTTTCTTGCGCTCAACTGCGCTGGCCCGTCCTTGGCGCTGAAACAAAAAGACCAAGTGTTAGGCGCTTACTTTAATGCGCCTAACGTTGGCCAACACTCCTTGCCGAGTAGAGGAGGGAGAAACGCAGACGAGAGACCGGAACACGGCCTGCTCTCGTTACAATCAGAAGAAATATAAAAGAAAACAGATAGAATTACAGAAACGCAGCGGGAAAGAGAAATAATAATAATACCTGATGACATACGAGGTCTGTTCGGAAAGTATCGGGCCTACGTTTATATCTTCGCGCCATAGTGTTCGAGCGACCTCTACCGGACAGAAACGTCAACAGTAAAACCTCACGAATCTATTGGTTACTTACTGACACCTGCTGAACGTATAGTTCATGCGCTGCATGTCTTTGTTTACAGTGCCTTTTTCGCGTTCGTCGGATTTTGATATTGTCAAAAATGACTGAAAAACAAGATCAATGAATTTGCATAAAATTTTGCTTTCAACTCGGAAAAACGAGTTCGGAAACTATTGAAATGATGCAAAAAGCCTTCGGAAGCGAGTGTATGAGCAAAACACGAATAAAAGAGTGGTATAAACGGTTCAAGGATGGTCGCACTTCTGTCGATAGTGATTCTCGTTCCGGCCGACCTTCGACGACATAAACCGTAGATAATATTGAGCGGGTGCGACTTGCAATCGAACAAGATCGTCGTATGACTGTACAAGAACTAGAAGAAGATTGTGGGATACCAAAAACTATCATTTCAGAAATTTTAACCGAAAATTTAGGAATGAAACGCGTGTGTGCGAAATTCATCCCAAAATTGCTCACAGCAGAGCAGAAGAATATTCGCTTAGAAATCGCTCTGGACAATCTGGAAATGGTCAATAATGATGATAATGTGCTTAGAAAAGTTATTACAGGTGATGAATCATGGGTTTATGGTTATGATCCTGAAACAAAACAACAATCTTCACAGTGGAAGCATTCTGAATCGCCAAAACCACAAAAAGCACGTCAAAAAACCAAGAAAAGCAGTCAGAGCAATGTTAAGTCAATGTTGATTGTTTTTTTCGATTGTGAAGGTGTTGTACATCACGAATATGCACCAACAGGTCAGACAATCAATAAAGAATACTACGTTCAAATTTTGAAACATTTGCGTGATGCAGTAAGAAGAAAACGGTCGCACTTTTGGGAAAGTGGCTTCTCCATCACGATAATGTGCCAGCGCATTCATCCAATCTTGTGCAGCAGTTTTTGAGCAAGCACAATATCGCATTGCTTCGACAACCTCCATACAGTCCCGACATAGCCCCTTGTGACTTTTGGCTGTTTCCAAAACTAAAGAAACCACTCAAAGGACACCAATTCGATGACAAAACAACGGTTGAAAACAATGCGACGAGTGTACTTAAGGCTATCCCTAAAAGTGAGTTCCAGGACTGTTTTGAAAAGTGGAAACATCGATGGAACCGTGTCATTCAATCATGTGGGGATTACTTTGAAGGATGCCACCCACCAGATGATAAAGAATAATGCTAGCACGATAATATAAAGGTAGGCCCGATACTTTCCGGACAGACCTCGTACAAGTGTTACTATCTATAATAAATATAATAGAAAATCCAAATGTAAAACATAGCACAATAGGAACCTGCAAAATAATTAACAATACGGATAAGGAAGCTACAACACCAGTATATTTGTAAATATATCAATTCCACATAGAGCAATGTTTAGAAAATTTGAATATTTCACAGGAAAGTAAAACCAGCGTTATAAATGACGAATATAATATATAAAATTACTCTACCTTTTATGGAATATTACAAAACAACTCCAAAACTACAAAATTAGATAAATACAATAATGGAGGAAACAAAATATATGATCTTAGATTCGACATCGTAGATATGCCTGAAAGATGCGATAGTACCAAAATAGAACTAGTATCCGAGAAAATAGAAATCCTGCACTGCGGATCTATAAATTTAACAAAAGAATTACAAACAAATTCATAAAACGGAACAAAAAAGAAAATGAGCAGTATTAAATACTATAAATTTAAAACATTTAGGAAAAAAACGGAAACTCATTGAAGAATTAATACTCTAGTTTGACGATATATGCTGATCACAAGAGAAAAAATTTGCAAAATAGAAGAGCATAAAATCAACCTAATGGATGACTCATCAGTTTACGTCAAACAATTCCTACTACCCTATACACTGAAACAAGTTCCTGTCACGGAAACAAAAAAATTAATAGAAAATATAATAGGGAAGATTTCTAAGAGCATATGCAAACAATAATCATAAAGATTGGGCTCCATTAATTCCCAAAATACAACAAATAATGAACTGTGTGTATCATGAAACGATTGAAATAACTCCTATAAAAGCTCACCTCCATATAAAACCAGATAGATTTTGGCATCGATGGATACCTAATATCAAAACAAAGGTACCAACAAATTACAATTAAATAGAAGATATAAAGAAAAAAATGCACTCTAAACTTATAAAACGTGCAACTAACATTAATAAAAATATACGTCATTATCAATATAAAGTTAATGACTATGTATTATTGTGGAGTCAGAACATAAGTAATAAAGAAGAAGAAATTATTAAGAAATTTTTAAACTTATATGAAGGCCCGTATATAATTAAATCTATAATAGGCTTAGATACATACCTATTAAAATACAAGAACGGTAAAGATAGAGGTGTATTTCATACTTCTCTACTAAAGCTGTACCAAATTTAGCCACTAGGGGATAAATTCTCTCTTCAAGCAAATTTGCATATTGGTCTGATATATGTAAACACTGGAGAAAGTAGGCTAACGATCTGGAAAGATGGTGGGAAAAAGTGAGAGTACTCAGACCAATACGTCTGATTTAAGGCACTATATCCCAGCGCCATCAGCCAAATCTTTTGAACAATCGCAAAATATGGTGCCTTGGTCTCTGTGCAGAAGCACACAGACACCATCCAAGCCTGCTTGGGTGGCAAAGGCGGAAAATAAAAAACAATCTTTCATCACCTTTCTACCTTCAAACGTGTCACGTTCTTTTGCCCCTGCGCCCTCAACATCCTTGCCAACTACTTCGAGAAAGCG